GAAGGAAGGAAGGAAGGAAGGAAGAAACCGTTTTTCAATGTTTGTAATAAAGTCGTACACACTTTCGAAGCCAGTTGCAACACATGCTGGTTACTTGTCCCTCAGAATATTTCACTTTAATTCTTGTATTTCTTCATCAGGCATAACCAATATCAATCATTAAAACTGAAGCACAAAGTTCAGAGCAATTGCGTGAGTATACCTCATCAAAATTGAAAGAAAAATCCAATCGAGACAATGTGTAGCAATTCTTTTAATTACCGACTCAATTTCTATCGCAATACACTATAAATTCTCTTCTAATTATTCTTATTCCTATCTTTTGACGGTCGCACTTCAACGATAATGACAGTAACTGGTTATGTCACTTAAACTCATTTACTATACAACATTTTAGAAAAAGTTAAATATTCTAACACATGAAAAAATAGATTTTTTGAGATTTTATGAGATTTTTTAAGAGCACCGAAACTACAAAATATGACAAATCGATGTATCTCTTTATCTTTTTGTCGAAAATATCCACGTATTATTGTAGAATGATTGACTAGCCTTCATTCGTGCAAGGCATATAGTCTGCAAATAACTATTATCTTATGAATGCTCGGGCGTGGGCTTCCATTAAATGCTGATTCTCGAAAACAAGCTCGGGACACCCAATTTTTCTTTCCAGTTTTGGAATCAGCATTAAATTTCAATTCGGAAAATCGAAGTTTTAAAAAAAGTTTAACATATTTTTCAAAAGTAGGCAGTCACCTATTGAAAAGTCCAATATATTCGTTAAATCAGTCATCCGTGCAATTCGAGGTTGTGTCTTTAAGCAAAAATCGCCGGAAAACGAAAACAACTTCATCAGTCGCTTTGTTATACAGTATAATCAATCCATTCACTTGAAAAAAAAGAATTTTATAAATGATTTCTTTCAGATAGTTAACGAAGATAACCAGATGTCAAAAAGTCCAAACTTTTGATTAATCATCTCTACCGTGGACACGCAACGCAACCCAAAACAAAAACACCAACACCACACTCATAAAATTACATCCTAAGAGCTAAAATTATTTTTCTGAAAGTAAACTTTAATTGAAAGCTATATATATAGCCATAGATAGACTCCTTTTAACACCCTCTAACTAAAGGTACTCATGTTTGAAGTGCTACGCGCATGCGCTGTCAATCCATCTCTAATGATGCTTTGACTAAGCCTTTAATTTCCAGGAACTGATAGTCACCAGACAAGAGTTCTTCCTGGACGAGTGGTATTGTTTACTCGTCTCAAAAACACCAAAATCCCGAAAGAAATTGAAGTAGATCTTTGGTAACTGTAAGATCAATCAAAAAACCGAGTTCTCGAGGTAAGAAACTTAAACTAACGCGCTGTAATATCCAACCATAGTTAACAATGATCCAACAGCAGGACGGTTTGAACGAGTTAGTAAATCTTAAGCGCATCTTTCAGTCATATTTATACATCATTCTATTTTGTGTTTGTTCAAAATTTCCTTTATTTGCAGTCGAGAAATTGTCATTCACTTCTTGCGATACGTTTAAGAGACCTATGTCCTTTACGCTTCTTTGTTAAGGTGTCGAAGTCACTGTCACTTTTCTCAGTTGAAGGGAACGTTGTCACCGATTTCTATAAGTGTAAGATTATAACTAAAACATTCAAGTTCAGCCCATGTACTTTCCAAAGCGAACTCTTTTAGAGCAGCACAGTTAAGTCTTAATTCTTTTTAAGGAATAAAAAAGGAGATTAAAATCTCCTGTTTGTGTTATTATCTAGTACCACAATCATAATAACGAAAGTATTTATTTTTGATCATAACGAAGAAAGACGTTATGATGATGGTTCTCACGTTCGTTCCGTGCTCTTCAAAAAGACAGCAATAAATCAATGATATTTACCGAGATGAGTAAAGAAAAATCTTTACTAATATGCCTAGAAAAACAGGCCAAGACTTTCGTGTTAGATTCTCAACATTTTTGTTTGGGAGTCTCAATGGATTATTTCGAATGCAAATTTCAAACCCATTCAATATGTTTTTACAGGAAAAGATGCTGAAAGGGGCGTGTTAATTTAAAACTTTTCAGGATGATTTGAACGCGTCACGGTCTCATTTACACTCTACTCGCAAAAGTAAAATTGTTGGTTGAATTTTATCATTTTACCAGTCTTTTTCTTGACCTTTAGTCTTTTTCTTGACCAAAAGTTCTTTTTAGGTTAAAAATATCTATTAAGTCAATCGAGTGAATTCGTTCCGCGTTGGCCATATAGTTTTCATATTTGTATATAATTTTTGAAGAAATCAGGATTTTTATTTATTTGAATATTGTCTTAATTTTAGGAACCTGTTCTTTTGTTTCTGGTTTTCGAGAATGCACTATATAACAAACAACAGAAACATGACTAAAGGTCTGATAACCAATTGCTCTTCAAAGCCGTTCTTAAGATTCTATAAAGCTTTTTAAAGATCTTTCTTGGACCTTATTTTTATTTGGTAAAGGGGTTAGGACGCGTTTAAAACAACGAGAAAGTCGCCAAAAGAAAAAAGGATTTGAAAAACATGGAATTACAAGAAATATATAATTAAAATAACTATCCATTTGCCACAACCCAGGGAAAAATTAAAGCACAATCATTAAAGCGACTTATTCACAAGTTCCCTTCCATACAATAGACTTCGTTTATGGCTAGGCACTTCGTCTTAATGCCGGCTATCTAATCAGCAACTTTGTTATGAGGTAAATTGTACTCACTTATGACACGGAAACCAAGAAAAACCACGAAAAAAAGACCAAGCTAAAGACTGAGCTGTTGGAATAATTGATTTTGACGGGAAAAAATTATTGCACTGTGTATTTGAGGGAAAAGTTCAGGGAAAATTGCGAATAAATTGGTAGACGTTTAGGAAAATTATATACCTACAGGCGTGGAGCGGAAAGCCGTAAGAATTAGATTGAATTGGTTAGAATTATCACGTCCTTTTTCTTGTCCTGTGTTTCAGCGAGTGCAGCTATGACCCAGAGGAGACCCGCTCTGGCTTTCATTCATAAGACACGACGGGATGCAATTGAGTAGAATGAATTTATTATTTTTCGACGGATCCAGGAAAAATGAACAGCAACTTAAGTTGTGTTTGATAAATAATGTCTATTTTTCGGTTTCCCTTGTTGAGGACGTATGCCCAATATACGCTCATTTTTAGTGGAGCATTATCGCTGGCAGGTACTTAATCTCGTAAGTCGGCCAAACCAAACAAACACCCTACTACTAGATGCACTCAACTGCTACATGTGCGCGCTTGTTTTTACGCGTATAGTCAATTAAAAAAACGTTATCGTCGATCGGCTAAAGCCTACGCGACTGGACCGAAAGGAATATGGGTAAAAATCACTGAAGCGGTTTTAAATATTCGTTCTGAATTAATTGTTCCCGCTAGTAATAAGATAATAATGGCGAGAAACAATCCATCAAATGCATGTCTTTGGGTTCAGGGAAAGCAAAACAAAGTAGTTATGATTCAGTTCACAATTTCGAAAATATGAAGGCATTAAAAAAACGTCTCCTTCAACACTTCCCGCTCGCCTACGAAGGTTCGTGCTGTAAACCAGGCATAACTAGTCAGATAAAATTAATTCAATGATTGCTACCCAGAGTTTCTTTCGGTCCAGTCGCGTAGGCTTGAGTTGGTCGACGACAACCTTTTTTGAATTGACTGTATACGAAGAATACGACGCTTTTTGGTACAATGAGGAAGGACAGAGGTCAAATTGAAACGTCAGTAATATTTGAAATGGTCATTATATACACCTATTACAAAAAACGTTGTCAGACCGAGATCTAGCCTCCTTCGCAGCCGTTCTTAGGGTCGTCAAGAGGAAAATGTTGCGTGACGACCCTAAGAACGGCTGCAAAGGAGGCTATCCGAGATCTGAAATGAGCGAACTATAAGGACTAACGGAAATTTGTGCTTTTGATGTTTGTTGGCTTAAATATCGGCGAAAATTTACGTTTCTAAATCAAAGGTCATGCTTCACATTTCAATGCCATCTCAATAACCATGAAATGATAGTGACCGCCATATTGGATATCATGACGAGACCGGATCAATATGGTACCTAAATCAATCAGAAATAATCAAGATAATGAATGCGATTTTTCACTAATAAACGTAATACAGTAAGCATTGCATGCTATAAGCCTTTTCATAGTTTAAGAATTGATTCCACTGCGCATGCGATTTTATCCCGAATTTCTCACCTTTTGTTTAATTAAGAACAAAAGAAGGTTTAGACAAAAGAAGGTGAGAAATTCGGGATAAAATCGCATGCGCAGTGGAATCGATTCTTAAACTATGAAAAAGCTTATTGGGGGAAATTTTCCTATATTCTATCTCGTCCCCAGGCCACGACATTTCGCATTTGATTCAATGACGAAGCAAAATCTTCACTTTTGTATACTGATATCCAAGTTACTTTTCCAGAGGGAAAAAAATTGAACCCAGCTCTTTAAACATTCAGTGAGCAAACTGGATAGTTTAGTTTCCCACCTTAGTTTATTAGGAAAAAAGATCGCTTTGAAGCTATAGCGCCTCATCACATGATAGAATAATATTTCTTTATTCAAGCAAGCCTTTCAACAGTCTTTTAAAAGAACTTTATCGCAACAGTTTTCAATAGCGTAATGGGTCCATTCTCAAAATAATGCTACAAATTCCTTCGAGAAAAAGTGTGATTTTTTTTGTTGTATTTTTATGTTAGCTTCGCCTCGAAGAGTCCATTGTTTTATTTTGGATTTATGACGTTTTCTTTGAGCTAGCTCGATCTCCCAACACGACGTCATGCGTCTGATCCTAAAGTACTTCCATGTCAGGTGATCAAACATTATTTTGGTTCATTGAAGCCGTGCTGTCATGTCAAGAATTGCAAACATGTATATCTCTGTTCAAAATTTAGCAGCAGGACCAATGAAACACTCTGGAAAAAGTTGTTAACTGGATAAAGAAGTTGATGAGTGCTTGCTGTAACGTGTACGTGCTGTGGAAGTCGTTAATTTTGAGACAGCAATCAAGATCGAGGTGTCAGTCAGTAAGTGTAAAGACGTCACAATCAGACACAATGAGTTTATATTTCATTTTATCGTTTCCGTAATTATCCACTTTCTGCGTAAACAAGCGAACGAATCTTCATGCTGCATTCTAGCCTATTCGGTCTCACAAACGTGTTTACATCGAGTCACCCGGGTTTGATTAAGGGTAAATCTTGGTCCAAAATCTTAGTTAACGAACGAGGACCTTGGTTTGACAACCGTTATAAATTATTCGTTCTATTGTGCGACAGGGTTGGATTAAACGGTTGGCTTGTTAGATAGTTTTGTATTTCTGGTCCAATAAACTCATTGAATAAATACAGCACCTCGGTTGTTTGAACAGCACGAAAGAGGCAACTTGTTCAATGAACGGGTGGGATAGAAAATTTGTTCTCTTAAGAGTTTAAGAGGGACACTTCGAGACCTTTCTCATCGTTTGCGTAGATCTACTTATTACGACAAAGAATCATTTTTTACAAGAAAAAAAAAAAAACCTGGATAACCTAGCGAACAATAACTAAAAGCTTAACACTCTTAAGATATCTCTTTATCCCTGAGGCAATACTGACCCTTTCGTTTCCAAGTCATGATTCAACTTAACCCCATGCAAAGCTTATACAACGAGGCAGATTTTCTATTATATTTGATTTTTCACAAAACGTTGCCGACTGTTATTCGTTGACCTCAATTATAATGATTCATCGATTGATTATGTAAGATTGTAACCGGGATCGTAATGTACCTGGAGACAAGCAGACTAAGAGGGGGCTAGATCGTTCTTAGGAAGGTAGTAGGAGTTGACTGAGGAATCATCATATTAATAACACACGCAGTAACAGTACTATTGCAAACTAAGGCATGCGTAGAAACATGCACCAAGAAACGTGGTCCGGCCAATAAATACGTCCACTTTTTTTTCACAGGCAAAACTGAGAAACGAAACAAGCTAATTACATAAGTTCCTTAGAGCTACTGACTATCTGTGACTAGAGGATTATAAAGTAAGTAAGATACATTCCTATACATGCTACTGGTCTGAGTCTAATTTAAATATTACCGAACGTATTTTATTTCACGAGGTTTATTTTGTATCATTTTCTTTTTCTTTTTTAATTTCCACAAAAATCATTGTATTATGTACTGGAATTTAAAGTTTGTTATGGATACACAGTAAAAAAAAAATTTCTTGTCGAGGCTGCGAGATGCTTTTTTTTTATATGTTTTGTTTACAAACCTCAATGAACGAACAAATTTTCATTTGATTATGTAAGGCGAGGGCAACAAAGACTTAAAAGCTACTGGATAGAGAGGGAAAGAAAGTTAATTATAGATTTCAGRAAACATATAGATTGAAAACAACATAAAGTTAGGAGATGAAAGATGTGAATGATAAATAGGAAGTATTTCAAGTCTGTAATTGGATAGATTTCGATGCGATAAGGGCAATGGCACCAATTTTGAATCTTAATTATTTCATTAACTATATTTGATTCGGAGAATCAAAGGCAAAAGTGTTAGGGGCATTTTTCGAGGAAAGTTTCTTTCTATAACGTTCGTTCTACGCACGATTCTGTCCTTGTTTTGATCGTAAATGATAATTAAAGTATAGGAAAACCGACTGAACACAGGGGTCGCAACTACCAGGTGCTACTAACAAAAACAACATAATCCAATCTAAGCCACCGTAAACATGGTCAAACTTAGGTAGTTTCACGCCCGATTAATCCATTTCTTTTATGTAGTTCTTTCAGGTAAGGATTCAAGCCACGAAATCTTGAAAATCCAGTAACTTCTTGAGGAAAATGCGCTTAAAAGATGGCCATGAAAGACCGTAAATCCATGATTTACTGAGTGAGTTCTTCCCCAAATGAAAGYGAATTGAAGTTCTCCATTTGTAAGTACAGCATTTTCCAATCTATCACTATAATTATTTTGAGAAAAACTGTAATTAAATACAAAAGAATMCAATTCTTTCAGCAGCTGTTTCAATTTTTGCAAAAATATCGTTTAGTCGCTACGGAAAACGAGATTTTCCCGTGTCAAAATTAATTTTGCTACCATAATCGAATAATTGAAATTTCAAAAATGCGCGTTCATATTCACGTGCTTCGTGTATCTTTTGTTCTTTGATAAATAAAAGGATATTTCCATCAGCTGCTCAAAATATTTAGAGGTTTTCAACAGTTTACCGCTAAAATATTTGACTTCTTGCAATAATTTCGACCATGTTTTCGTCTTTGAAGAGTAACACTGTTTCGGTGGGAGGTTTGGCCTTGCTTTCCGGGCAACTGTCCCCTGCTGATAAAAACTTTTCGCTCAAAACAAACTAAAAATAATAATTTTATACGCTTTTTTGGCTGTAGTTAAATGTGATAACCATTATCAAAAAAAAAAAAAATGGTGAGAAAATTTGCTTTACGACTGAGATTTTTTTCAGTTAAACTGAATCGGTATAGAATCGAAGAAAAAATTACCGATTGTTTAAATACAAAAGTTGAAAAAACATGATACAGCCTCCTGCTTGTTTGTGTATACTATTTTCGATTCGGTTCGGCAATGATAGTGATCAGTTTATAGCAAGCAAAATAAGGTTCTTACTTCCGCACTCTGCGTATTAATTTATGATAAGCACCGACTTATCTTGCGAATACTGAGGTATGATCAATCACGCAAAAACTAATCTTTCAACTAATAAAATGAAGTTTTGGAAAAATAAGAAGCAAAATCAACGAATATCCTATCCTCGGACTATCCTCGTAGATAATGTGCTAGATACTATCCTAGCAAAGACGGAGGAAGGGACTGGGTCAAAGTTAAAAACTACACTGCATCACATGAACGAACACTATAACAGCTTACTGACCAAGTTTTAGGATGCTTGGCCACGATGATATGAGCATTCAAACATCGCCAAAAATAGACCCTTTTTAACTGATACGGCGGCCATCTTGAATTATGGTATACCGAGTGGGCAAACGTAGATATTCTAAATCATAGTGTCACGAGTTATGTTCCAACTACCAGCAAATTCAATTGCCTTGGATGTGTTTCTCATTGCATAGCTTAAAGTTAGATAAAAATACATCCGCTAACAGCTGTGTAGTGATAATTTTTCCAATAGCTGCCCCTCGGCAAATGGTTCAGTTCCCTCCAAGAACTCCCCTCAACCCCCTCCCCTGTGTGTCAAATTTTTAATTCTTACTATTAGTTATGTGATATCTCTCTTAGAATTAAGACATTAATCCCGTGAAACAAAATATAATAGTTAAGATGTAATAGTCAAATAGACACGAAAGAAAACAAAGGAATTAGCGACTACTAACGTGTCTAACATCTATTTCACGGGTTAAATGATTTCACTCTATGGTTGTATTTGTTTTTAATTACACTAACTCTGAGGAACCCGGTTCCAGTCCCTATATTGATAACTCTCATATTCAAGCGATGCTGACTTACTTATTATAGCAAATAATAAATACAGCAATTAACGCTTGGGCGAGAATAAATAGCCTCTGACCACAGGGTATAACATAACATATGAGCTAAGAAAGACTATTATTATCATTTTAGACTTGAAATAGAATTTCGCGCGCTCTGATTGGTCGAGCGACCAGTGATTATGACACGATAATCATTGGTTGAGAGGTAATTATAAGGCTTTCCAAAGCGGAAGTATTGCTCAAATTTTTCTTTTTTATTCCGAGTTTCGTCTTTTCTCTCAGGATATTCAAGTATATAAATATACTAAAAAAATTATACTAAAAGATTATTCAAGTAAATATGGTGAATATTCACCTCCACTACGTCTCTTCATATTCACTTCCCCTTCGGTAAAAGATTGTTAAATAAACGTATAAATTATTGCTAAATATGTATATATATTCATCTAGTTACGTCGATTGGGTTGCATACTTGAATATTGTTACAGCCCAATACGTTACGAAAGGAGGACGAGTGGTACGAAGCCCCAAGAGACTAGGATATTAGTACCCTCCCCGGGTGGGGAATAAATTGTAACCCCTTAAGGAATCGAATTTCGTGCTGACATGTTTGTAATGAAGTCAACGTCTCAAGTAAAGTTGTTGAGTTGTAAAAGGCGTTTTCTGTCGTCAGTTCCACAACAAATATATCTATTATTAATGGCAAAATCTTTTTACAATTTCGCAGTCACTGGAAAATAATATATTCCTTTTTTGCGAACGCTCTATCGATGTCCTTACTACTTTCCTATGTAATACCTTAGTCTGTTCTTTCTCAAGATATATCTTTACAATATAGTAGCGAGAACATTGAAAACTTCAATGTTTACTTTATAACCTGGTTATATACGTTGTTGTATTTCTTATACTCTGCGGCTCTTTGATCTTGTTTCGATTTTTCCGTTGATGCATATGGCTGTGGACAATAGCTACAGCACCAGCCGCAATAACAACAACAGCAACAGCAACACTGACAGTTGCAGCAATAACGACAGCAAAACCAACAGCAGCAGCAGCAACAGTAGCAACGATAACAACTACGTATACAGCAGCACCACCACCAACAGCAGTATCAAACAATAATAGTTTTTCTGACTGCATATTATACTATTGTTTTTCCTGTAATATAGCGTGAATATCAATACAATAAACTTTTTTATTTTTCCATTTCCCGATAACAGCTAGAGTCAAAACAGTCAGAAAACCTTAATTAGTTATTTGGACTAAAAAAAGAGAAATACCCGAGACCAAACAAAAGCGCCCTGCTGTGATTGGTTTTTGTTATTTATAATCTTCGAAGCTGATTGGTTCTCTTCAAATTAAGTCGACCAATCACCACGAGGGGAGCAAGTTTTATGTAAGTGATCAGTGCAAATTTGTTCTTCAAATTCCCGAAACGCTGCAAGGTGCCTATGAAAATCTCCAAAAGCGTGATGATATAGGAAAATTCGTCTGGACATAATGAAGTAAAAGACTAGAAACACTCAAGTAAGCATGAAAATTTATACTAGTAAAACCAAAATTTTTTGTTCTAAGTTACGGAGGCTTTTTTTTCATATCCACACTGACGTTTTATCAAATATTTGTTTCGGCCTCTGTTTTTAATTCACTGTGATTTCTGGAACCCGAATTTCATAGAAATCTAGTAAAAACGTTACCGGCTCACTAAAGAAATAATACATCATAAAGGCTTGGCCTTTTTGGGATAAGGGTTTTATTTATGACTATAGAGACTGAGTACAAAAATACAAAAATGGCGAGTGTTCAAAGTTGTTGACAGTAATTGTCACGGAATTTCTATTCGGACTCTATCAGTAGACTTTTGTTTCAACCAGTGAATTTAATTAAAAAAAACTATTGACAGAAGAAGAAATAGATCAAAATATTAGAAATTGATTATAGCACCAGCAATATTTCTTCGAATAACCTCGTGGAGCCCACCGAAAACAAGATCTTCTCTGAAATTTTTTGTGTAGTTTTTATCAAAAGCCAAAGTTTCGTATATGGTTGCATACATAAATATGGTATATCTATAAACACATCTATATCTGTAAATATAAATATGATATGTATATATAATTCAACAAATCACATACTAGTTTGACCTAAAAATCCAACAAATCAAATCACAAAAGAGTTCAACTGCGTTGCCAGCGTCGCTGTCCTTTTGATACCGAGGCCGTGGCCCGGCGTAAAACTCAAAATGCCACTAGCATTTCTAATTATGTAGCAAACATCCCCCCTGAAATTTGATTAAGCGAAGGGATTCTAAATTCTAATTTTCATAATTGTCATCCTCAAAATTCATATATGACATTCGGAAAATTACCTTCATTATTCTTAAATTTCTTACTAGTCCTCCAGACTAGCCATGATTTTTACCGTGAGAACTCCAATAAACATTTAAAGAATTTGTTTAACAGTTAACACCAAGTTATCAGAGTACCGTTTTTTAGTAAAAGGTATTTTTGTTCACTTCCAATGTCAAAAATGTCTTTCTCGAACATTCGGCAGTTACAAACCAACGGATGTTTTGACTTCGAAATGATTTGAAATCGGGTTCCGTGTCGTTTGAACTGAAAAAAGTGCAATCATGAGACGATGTAGTTTTCTTTTACTTCGAAGCAGCGCTGATAAAATAGATATGAGTTGAGTTGATGCTCAAGTTATTATTAATTAACAATTAACTATGTCTAGGCACAGGGAAATATAAACTGTTTGCGATATATAGAAAATTCGACGGATTGCAGGCTGATTTTTGTGCGTTTTTGGTAGATCTTCCTTTAAAATTTTTTCCATTTCCTCATCCAGAAGCGAATTTAAAAGTCAGTGCGCATGCTCAAACTGTTATTTGGTTACACAAGGTTTTGCATTGCGCAAGTGCAAACTGCTATAAGGCCGTACGCTAGTTTTTCTGCACTGCGCATGCTCCCACCACTGATAGTCAAACGTGGAATCGTGTATCAGATTGCACATGCTCACGCTTATTTTCGTGAATTCAATTGAAGTCGCGTTAACCAATCAAAACATAGGATCGATTTAATTCGTTATCAAAATAGCGGTATCTTTAAACGGTTGCTTCCTTAGTTGAACCTTTGCCCCCAGACCTACTCCCTAGGAAATACAAGTGCCAAATGACATGATCGCGTAACTAGTTAGTAAGCATTCACGCAAGAAGAATAAGGCCAATGAAAGATAAACCATGAAAAAATTCGCCGAGGAAGAATTCCAGACTAAAACTCATCAATTAACAAGTTAATGCGGTGCAAAAAGGCTTGTAGTTTTGATGTCTAGAAGGTACAATAGAGATAATCGGAACAGATGCTTTATATGCTTCATATGCATGATATTGAATGATTGTAATAAGAGTGAAAATTAATCATTCAAACGGCAGTTTTTGTCAATAATTTTTTCTTTTCATATTTTTTCTGTCCTTTAAAATATTTCTTGCGTTTCTTGTCAAGTAGTATACTTTATATTATTTTTCCGCGCTAGCAAAGTCGTTGCTTTCTCTCACCTTTTATTGTTTTATCATTAAAAATTCAATCATATTTTCTTTGGATTCATTCTTTTTTCTTAAATTTTTTTTTCGATCATCTACGATCATTCTCTTTCACTTTTCAATCTTATGTTTTCGCTTTTCTTTTGGTTTCATTTTCTTGTGACAAAGTAATTCCCTATCAATGATGTTGTTTTTGATCATTGTATTTCTTTATATTTCTCGAACTGACAGCTACATATAAACCTGAAGAATTCCGCAATATTTGCCCTGGATGGCACGATATTGCCTTGGAAGCCTGTTTGACGCAGTTTCCATTGTTTAAAAGGGTGTTCTTCAAATCATCGACTCCTGTCTACAATACTAAATGGCTTCCCCATGACTTGCATTTTGAAATGAATTGTCTACTTTGATATCGTAACAAGATTTTGAAAAGAATTTAAAACTGAATTTAAAAATACATTTTCGAGAAGTCTTTAATTGAATCTCTTCAAATTCTCCCGAGTATACAATTCTAGATACTAGTTGGTAAAATCCTTGCAAATAAGCTTGTATTTCGGCACGCACTTTGTCTCTTATTAGCTCGTTTTAAGAGAATTACCAATTATTCTAGGCCTATATCTACGTCAAATTCAAGTCACTGTGGGCTGCATGATCATTCCCTCAAGTCTTGACGCTATTTGAGTGATTCCTCTGGGAGTTTTCCTATCTCACTTCTAACCATTTCCTAACACAAACATGATAAAATAGACGATAAGCCTGGAAAAACACTCAAGTTAATATATAATGATTCCAGTATTAGGCATCTTTTTGTTTTAAATCGACTTTCCTGAAATATTTTGCATTAGGGAAAAGATTATGAAAGTTGTAGCTATTGGGTCATTTAGAGAAAATGTGCGTCAGTGCACTTGATCTCTTTATCGAGGCCTACGACTCACAAACAAAAATAATAAAAAAACACTCTAGAGAGTATTCCTTTTCTTGTCTATTAACAAGCGGGTTCGTAATTTGTTTGTTGAAAGATCACGAATTTGTGATTACGTTTTTACTCGGGCTTTCGAAGAAATGCCCGAGGTATAAATTGGTCTTCGTTATTTTTTTTTCTTCAGTCACAAATCGCCCTCGAAGCCCTAAGGCGCATGCGTCAAATCAAAGTCTATGGGCATGCGTAGAATCAGCCATGAGCACATGCTTGAGTAATGGCGGATATGGGGAAGGACTCGTCGCTGTTTCAAGTAATGAATGATATGGAGTCTAACACCCTCAACATTTTTAGCACGCTTGATTTTGCACAGACTTTGCACCATCTAAAAAGGGTGACAATGTTCACGAAGAATTCTTTCGATTTTCTGCTAAGAAGCCCGAGTTCACGCAGATATGCGTCTAGTTTACTTAATTATTGCTCATGTTAACCATTGTGCAATTGACTATCGTTCGAAATGAGCTCAAAAACCAGGACATCATGGTCATCAACTTTGAAAAAAAGGATTATTTATGGTGCTTTTTCAATCAAAAACGCCATTTTCCTAACAGCTCGAGGCAAATATCATAGACACGTCCAGAGAAAATTAATAATTCTAGTTAGTTCATAACTGCGTCAATCTTTTTAAATGCTAAAAGCATGAAGCAATGCATTAAGAGTGAAGTATTTGAAGTATTATTAATAGTACAATTGGAAATCTGAAATACGGAAAATTACTGATGAAAACGAAAGATATTTCATTATTTTTTTAAGTGAATATAAATTTATTAGTTTTAGAAGAGAAGTAGTTTCTACAGCTGTGCATGAATCAGCGGGGAAAAAGAGCAAAGATTTTTTTTTGCCTGACCATAAAATTTGATTGATAGGTTGTCAGTTTGAGTGTTAAAAGCCCATCATCGTTACATGCAGTGAAAAGAGATAAGATTGTGAACTCACTACTTTTTGCTCTCACTCCGTATCTTGTCCAGGTCGCGTTATCGACGCATCACGACTCAAGCCGAACACCTACAACAACAATGGCGACGAGTAAGATCAACACTACACAACAAGAAGTACAAGAACCTGTCCATTCTGTAGAAGCAGGAATTATCATCGAGTCGTTTTTTCTCTGCGTATTGGCTCTTATCATTCTCTTTGGGAATATTCTGGTTTGTTTGGCGTTTTACAAGGATAGAAAGCTTCGTACGACGACCAATTGTTTTATAGTGAGCCTCGCGATTGCGGACATTGCAGTTGGATCTTTTTCCCTTCCGTACTGGATCTACTTCAGAATAGGTAAGAATTAAAATAGGCCTTCTGTATAACTATTCAAGGGGAACAGAGCAGAGGGAAGAGCTCCGAGTTCAAAACTAGTAGATTATTAAACTGCTCGCTCTTTGAAATTGGTTTCCCTGCCGCGCGAGCTGTTGAGTTGATCTTTACATCGTGGAATTTGATCTGACTTAAGTATGACGGGCTGAAAACTTCTGTTTAAAGTGGGGACTTTTATCAGCCCGAGGCTAAATAGATATAAATAGACTATGTTATGATATCTATAGAAGCTGCTTTGCCAAAATAGTTCAGACATGACTATATGAATGTATAGTTTAAGTTGAAGCGATAGTGGAAACGAAAATTGACTCATAAAATGCATAGTTTGTTTCCTGACTTTGATAAAACACAGCACAGAAGGAAAAAAAACACGTAGAATTCCTGGAAATGTGCTTTCAACACCTCGAACATTTCAAATATTATAAATTTTAAGGATATTTTGCAATTGAACTTTTAAAAATTAGATTTTTTTTGACATGTCTTTGAGTGATTACAATTCAAGTGTTATTAATGATGATTCAATTCTGGGACCAATTCTGTCGTTAAAACAGTCCTAAGGTTTAAGATGTTATTAGCCATTCGGAGGTTGCATTGCAGTGCATTGTAGCCATCTTGTAAAAATCCGCTACAACAGTCCCACAATGCACTGCAATACCAACTCGACCCAGTTTTTTCTTCAACCCCCGAATGCCTAATAAGCTGCCGTGTGTGATAACCCAGAAATGGCTATCGGTCTTTTCCCCTCTCAAGGCTACTCTTAACGAAGTCTTACATGACATTGTGCTCGTAATACTTTTTATCACTTTGTAGACTTCAAGAGCTGATTAGACAAAAAAAGTTTTAGAGAAAAACCTTTGTAGTGGTTTCCCCCCGATTCCTTCGTTAAGCAGACATTTTTTCGATACTGGATGCTTGAAGTTTAATCGGCGCGAATAAAAGAAGGGGGAAAAAATCGAAAAGAAACTTAAACTAGTAAAAAATGTTATTTATTAACTATATTGGAGCCTCTGTGAGAGGGAGAGAAAAATAAACAAATGAATGAAAGATGAATGAACGAACGAACGAATGAAACATTGAATGAATGAGTAAATGAATAAACAAATGATTGAAAAAATGATTGAATAAAAGGATGAATAAGTGAATAAACAAATGATTGAAAAAATGAATGAATGAATGAATAAACGAATGTAAGAATGCGGGATGAATGTATATAAAAAGTGATCATATGCAAAAAGATAAGTGCTTTTCTCTCCTATCAAGTACTAATATGTCCATATCAATACTAGAATATTTTCATCTATCGAAGCCTCACGCCAATAGTATTTGTAAACGAACCTCGACTCACGAACATAAATTTACTACGAAATTAATGAAATAAGATTTAGGGTAAAAATCTTGAAGTCAGTAATAAGCGCCCCAGCTGTTGGCCATAATCTCACTAGAAATTTTTTTTAGCAAAATGTATTTTGACACTAGAATCAAAATGTTTGTCCGATTACGAAAAGGAGGCATGGTCTTAAAGAGATCATCTCAACACCGTGAAAAGGCACTAGTCTTTGATAGATGGGATTTTAGCAAAAGGATGACAGTCAAAGGAACATCAAGTTGACGGGAAGGAACTCGACTAGCAGATGAGCAGCAGTTAGGCGGACTCGCGAAACGCCGACAAAGCCAAAAATCGAAAGTCGAAAAACATCAGGGGGGGGTGGGTTTTTAGAGGTCGGTAACCCGCCCTACAGGGGGTCTTGCGCGATCGGCCGACACGCGAAATGTGCCTAACTGCTGCTCTGTTGGGGTCGCAAACAGAGGGAAAGATATCCTTTAGATATACATGG